CTCCCATTTCGCAGCTTTAAAGGACTGCTGCATATTTGAACGCGTTAGACCATCTTTGAACCTGATTTCAAAGCACTTCATATGAGAGCAGACGAGCAGAGAGCCAAATTTTGCTCGTGTACCCTTCCTTTCGAAATACGAGGAGCGGAGTGCAGACCATACACCACAACTGACGACGGCCTCCAAGTAAATCTGGTTAGTAGTGTTCATAGTGATAGCTGATTTTTGGTAAATGATAGTTGTAATTAGTGACAACGATGAATACAACTGCAACAGGCTAATCATTTCATTGGCAGAAAACATTAACATTTTGTGAAGGCCGTCGTCACTTGTGGTGTATGGTCTGCACCCGACACTCTTCTCGTTTTTGAAGGGGAGGTAGGTAAGAACGACTTTTTCTGAACTTCTGTACGCAAATAGAATGACGTTGCGTTTTTCAAATGAGTTGTGAATGTTCCCCTCCTCCTCCCCCCTCCCCAAGCACTTCTAGTTGATTTATCAGACTTAGTTCTTTTGAAGAGGCAAACTATGTACGTGCTTGAATCACACTCGGTCAATTCCAGGAGAAGCTCCATATGGTTCGTGCTACAACGGTCAGTGTGCATCCGGGTATTCGTGTCGTTCGGGAAATATCTGCTGTTCTTAACTGTGTCTCTGAATAAATCAATTAATATGTGATCTTCACAAGGTCCAATGGTCTTACACCCATTTGAAGTTGTACCACTTGGGCCTGGCTCCGTTGCAGAAAGGAGCGCCGTTTTTTTTTTTATTTCGGCTAAGCCCTGCACACTATTGCAGAAACTGCCTACGCATTCAAAAGTCGTTGCGTTTTGGATGGAAGTAGAAGTGTGGTGTGCGTACCAGGAAGTGCTTCAGCATCTTATCCTCTAGCCCCGGCGGCAACGGTACTTCGGAATCCCGGTTTTTACAGGTGTGGAGAAAATATGCGAATGCTATAAAATCCTTCCGTTCGCAGTCTTGAACTGGATAAGCCGCAAGATCGTAGCATAAAAGAGATATCTGTTAAAAAGGGATCATCGCTGCTTAGCTACACAACCTGATCTCTGTTCTGATAATCGCAGTTCTTCCTTGTTTCACTTTTCTCTCAACAAAAACGAAACAACGTAAAATCTATTTCGTTCACCGTTCTAACGTTCGACAGTTCTTGAATGCCATATTCTTGTAGGACCATGAGAGTTGTTTGCCATACTGGAGAATGGATTCATATGGCAATCAGTGCCAGTACTACTTATCAAATTGCTTTGATCACCAGTGCCGTATGCCTGCTGTTCGCTGCTCGCATGGCGTACTCCGACCAGTTGCTACCTCCTGACAATTACGGCGTTCTAAAGTAATTTTTCGACGAATCTTGCTTTTTTTTTACTTTTTTCCTCGGCTACTCGGACTAAAAATCAACAACAGGATTTCATTCACCTATTATTTCTTACCATTGAATTTTTCTAGATATTTCCTGCCATTTTTAGTGGCTATTTGGCTCTCTTTTCTTAAGCTCGAATGAAGTGGAACACAAGTTTGTATCACCGATCCTGAACTGGAAAGTATTCTCAGATGGAACTATTCTTTAGTCACTAGGAGTGCAATAAACTCACTTACCTCCTTGTAGCAGGGATGATAGCACTCTCCATGTTTGCTGGGGTAGAATGGTTCAGTCAAGTGACTGCTTCCACTCTTTTACACCAAATGAATTTAGAAGGCAAGCATAATGGCTCGTTCAAGCTGGTAGGCTCGTACACGACTTGTAAAGCATCTCCATGAGTGGGTGCAGTTTGGTAGGAAACACTATGGCTTGCTAACAAAACTGCTCGGAAGTTTGAAGGAGGGTGGCTAGCTTGTCAAAGGAAGGATAATTAATTGCTTGATGGGTGAAACGTGCATCGAAATGGCCGGGCTTTGCTACGAGACCGTTCCGAAGGTTTGGAAAAAAATAATAGAAACTGGCGCGAGAGTTCAAATCCTCTACGATGGGTAAAATATACACCAGGGTAGACGTAGCCATAGCTAAAGCCTACTCACACTGTTCATTATCGCTGGATCCCTGTATTAGCGGCGGAGCCGAAATGGTATGGTAAAGAAGCTGCAGCTATGGCACAGAACGCGCGATGTGAATAGGAAATCGACAAAACTACGAAGAACTCTACTCTCTTGCTCCGTGAAAAAAGGAATGACCGCAGGAACGTGACATAGTATGGTTGCACCGACAGGAGTTACAGCTCGTGGAATCCTCGAATACGCTTCAGTAGCGGCACGACACTTTGCACTTAAGGAAAAATGTTTGAAGTTGAGAGAGCTGCAACGCGCAGAATATCCGCATGCTTGCGATTTGCGTCATAAGATCGATTTAGGAGGAACCGATGTTCCTCGTAACCATTTCTCTTTCTTTGCAATGATCAAAGGCATGACCCGGTAGCAAACTGATGTGGTTATGCGCACAAAAAGAGAGCATAGTTACGAAGTGGACTGATTGTAAAGGGAAAAGGACAAGAATTCATCAGAATCGCTAAAGTTGAGAGCTTGCTCAATTTTGTGTTAACACGTTGACGACAGGCTGACGCGCATGCGCGTCAGAATTTTGCACCGCATCGGACATTCTGACGCGCATGCGCGTCAGAACTATGCATTCATTTTTATTGTGCTTGCGCTCCTTCTTCTCGAGTTTTTTGCATTCATTCTATAGATAATACATTAGCATAACTATAAACCACATGGCAGCCAGAGTGGTCAAATATCCCTTGATTTAGCAAAGATTTTCTGAACGCACAAAACTTTCATTTCAATTCTTTCCTAGTATTCCTTTCACTGTCGTAAACATTCATATGAAAGATTGTAGAAGCAGTTAATACAAAACTCTGTGAGTTTCAAAATATTTGTATTTGATGGAAGAACTTGCTTATAAATGCTTTTAACTTCATTCGCAGCGAAAGTGATGTTTTTTTTGCTTCTTCGTGGTCATTATGCGTTCTTCTAAACAAAAATCTACTGCCATTTATACAGTTTAGCTACAGTTAACCTTTGTGCTTTCATCCTTGCCGAAATAATTCTGTGATATTCAAGTTATTGTGCATTTTAAACAAGAAATAGAATTGTATGTTCTTCGAAGTTA